GAGTGTTTTGTGCTGTACACACTCTTTGCTCCACTTAAGGTTTTTTGGGGGTCAGTGTATTACTTATTCAGAAAAGTAGATAGTTTGGGTTTTGTTTTGTTTTTTCTTTTTTGAGGCTGCAGTGGGAAAACAACATTCTAAAGAGTAACGCAGTCAATTCCTAAGAGGCGCATGATTCATCGGGCTCCGATGGCCCTGTGTTTGTTGGGCAGCTAATGGAGATCCCCCTGGAAAATTAGACAACTACTAATTACTTTCAGTGAAAAGCCGCCCCTTGTTCCACAAATGAATAATTGGCTTTGAAGGCACCCAGAAGTTACCAGGCTCTTCCAATATGTTCTGAAAACTCCATAAAGGGAAAAAAAGTTCAGAGATCCTGTAGTCCTTCCCAATAGTAATTTAACGCAGAACTGAGTATGGCTGAATTTTTGTGCCACTGCTTGCAAAATTTATATTCTGACATTTACAATTTCCCGAATACTATGCGGTACTTTCTTTGGTTCAAAATAAATCAACTCTTAGGTGGCTCATATGAATGGAAGTTATAACAGGTCTATGTATTCCACTGTTGGTGGTGTGCACATAACTTTTATTTGGGTCAGTTTTGTCTTTTTAAAAAGAGCATAGGATCTTGTTTTATCGGTTGGTTTGAAGATTGCCAAGATTGTTTGAAGATTGCCGGCAGAGATGTAAGCTGCACTTACTATAATTATTTAAATGACAAGGTGGTGGGTGCTAATTAGGAGTAATTATCAGAGGCAAAAGCTAAGATTAAAACGCCAAAAGTGGTGGGGAAACAATTTCAAGCTCTCCCTGTAGGAGAGCACTATGTCACTGTGCCCTGGCCTGGCTGGTGCTGGGTACTTTGGTTGGATCAGTGACTGCACTAAGCTGAAGTAGAAGAGTTAATTTTTTAAAGGAATAGACAATCTGTGGCGCTCTTTTGGGGGCTTTTTTTGTGGTAGTTGTGCTAAGTAATGGAACTTAGTAATGTTAAATTCTTGCTACTTAAAGAGTCCAAGTCAGCAGCATGGGCTTAACATGGGAGCTTATTGGCAATGCCACATGCTTGTCCCCACCCCAACTCCACCTAATCAGAATCTGCACTTTACCAGGATTCCCCCAGGTGATTCATCCTCACATTCATTAGAGGTTGACAAGCACTGATTTAAAGTATACCCATAGCATTTGTCAGCAACCTAATATTTTTCATTTAGATGAGGGAGGGAAAAGGGAGAACATTAAGAACCTACTATGCGTCAGGTATGATGCCAGGCTTCCAGAGAGCCTCATTTACATCCTTCCCTGTTATCCTTATTTGACAGGTGAAAAAATAGGTTGGCATTCACTCAAGGTATTGCAACTAATGAAGGAATCAAACTTTTTCTTAAACATTGAATTTCCATTATTACTTGTAGACATTCTTAAATCTGGTAGAAAATGGTACATGATTTGAAAAGTAAAAAAATAAAATAAAAAATACTGAGCCGAGCTGTGCTAGGCCTCCCACCCTCATGTGCCCCACACTCAAGACAAGTGGAGAGCCTGCCCACTCTAGGGCCCCTCCTAGAGGATGTTCAGACTCTGGGCCTGCAGACTATACCACCATCTTTACCTTTTGCCTCCTTGGTTCCAACATGGCAAGCAAATGCCCTAAATCAGCAGTCCCCAACCTTTTTGGCACCAGGGACCGGTGCTCCTACGAGAATCTAATACCTGATGATCTGAGGTAGAGCTGAGGTGGCGATGCTAGCTCTGGCGAGCAGCTGAAAATACATATGAAGCTTCGATTCCTCACCCACCACTCACCTCATGTGGTGCAGTCCAGTTTCTAATAGGCCTCAGACCAGGTCCATGGTCCCTGGGGGTTAAGGGCCCCTTCCCTAATGACCCTACTCCATTCTCTTGCCATAGCCCTGAGTTTCACACCACAGCGAGTGAACTGGACTCCATCCAGGTGGATAACACATAAGCAAGCAGGTTTTTGTCTTCTCAGTTCCTTCAGTTTATACTGCACTAGATTGGTTCTCTTCACTTCATTTGAACCTGCTTCACTCACACACCAATTAGTCAGTAGGTGCTTTCTTCTTTGCTAGAATGCCTCTGTGCAAGCCCTCAGATGTCTAATTTTTTTTCCGTATTAAATGTCATAGTTATGCCAGAAACTGAAATCCTGGATCTGATCCAAGCTTGTACCCTTTGATACTGCAGGCTGCCCTCTTGTATGCTTTCTTGACAAGGGCAGAACCCCATGACCTTGAGTTCCACTCAGGTGGACTCATACTTTGCTTTAACTGAAAAAAAGGAAATCCTGCAAAAATTAAAAAATGAATACAAGTGCCTGTTCTGCCATTATTGTGATTGTGTTCTAGCATAGGCATAGAAACTCAGAACTGGAGTTGCCATTTAGTCTTTCTGATGATATGTGGTAAAATATAACAAAATTCAGAGAACTAGAAATCAGAAATTACCACATTGGGTACAGAAAATTTTTCCTCATCATAGAATGTGGAATAATAAAATTATAAATCATACACTGGCCCTCGTAGTGGTTGTGTTAGAACAACCTACAAGATGTGGGCCAGACTCTGCCTTTCCCTCTCTGACACTCCCCAACTCTGCTCTGCCCAGACTGGGCAGATATGACTTTTCAATTAATCTCTCCCTGACCAGCCTATTTTAAATTGTAACACCCCTACTCCCGAATGCTCACTATTCCTAGTTTATTTTTCTCCAGGGCATTTATCTGGAGAAAAAAATTTTCAGGGCATTTATCAGTGACTCAAAACCAACAATAGTTTCACTTAACCTGTGAATCCATAAATTGTTGACGGTTTTCCCAATGGAGAAGGGAGTGCTTTCTTGAGTTACCTTCTGTTCTTGCTTTGGATAGGTTTTCATTCTGAGCATTGAGCAAATGAATAATGCTATAATCCCAATTACTTTGTTTTCCAGGATAATTGGAATATATTCTCTGGAGATGGTGATATCCTTTGGGAAGTAAACTGCTGTCTAGTTGAAAGACAAAGCTAGGGAAATTCCCTTGAGACATGTTGCCTTACAAGGATTGGTACCCCGCAACCTCTAAAGGTCCAGCTACCTCACGCTTGTCTTGAAACAGCCCTCTTCTCTCCAGAGTTTTCATCCTTTCCCCCTCAAACAAAAACCCTTTTGGGGCTTCCTCAAGACTGTAATCCAAAATCCTTATCATGGCCTACAAGGTCCTACATGTTCTGGCCTCTGACAACTCTAATCCATTTCCACAGTGCCAAGCCTGCCTCTGTCTACTGCTAGAACCTGCCAAACCAGCTCCTGCCTCAGGGCCTTTGTAGCTGCTGTTCCCTCCACTAGTTCTGGAGATATGCACACGACTCACTCCCTCACCTCTTTCAGGTCTTCACTCTAGTGTCTCCTCAGTAATGCCTACCTTAACCATGCTATTTAAGTTCAACTCCTTACCTTGTCATTTTTTCTCCATAGTAGTCATCTGTTTGTCTTACATATTAACTTCTTATTTGTTTTCTTCTACTAGAATATAAACTTTGTGAGGACAAGGATTGTTGGCTTTTGTTCACTACTATATGCCCAGCACATCTAGAGTAGTACCTCACATGCAGAAAGTATGTCATAAGTATTTGTTGACTGAAAACCTTGTAAATTATGTTCAACTCTATCTGTTGATATGCTAATGTTTTATTGTGTGGTTAACCTATCAACTACAAAAGATGCATTAAAATTTCTCACTATAAGAGTAATTTTGTCAATTTTTCCCTGTAGTTTGATTTTTGTTTTTATATTTTGAAGATAATTTATTTGGCACATTTAAGTTTACAGTCATAACGTCCTGGTGGAATTGAAAGCTTTTTAAATAATATGAGAGATTAAGTGCAAAAATTGCCTGAATTTTCCATCCTTCCCTGTATGCACATCTTTTTTAACGTGACTTTACAGCTCCTCCTAGGATGTAGGCTGGCCTTGTAGCTTGCGTTGACCTAAAGAATGCGGCAAAAGTGATACAGTCTGAGCCCGAACCTTAAGAATCCTTGACAGCTTCCACATTCTCTTGGATCCCTGCCTCCATGAGAACAGGCCTGGGCTAGCCTGCTGGAGGATGAGAAGCCACATGGAAAAGAGCTGAGGTCATCCAAAACCAATCAACAGCCAGCAGCCCCCAAACATGCAAGCCTAACCAGGATCAGCATAGCTACCTACCTGATGTGCAGCCACCCACAGATGCATGCGTGAGCATACGTGGGACCAGAAGAACTGCCCAGCTGACTTGTAGACTCATGAGCAATAATAACTACTTATTATGTTAAGCCTCTGAATTTTGGAGTGGTTTGTTCTACAGCATTATTGTGGCAATAGATAATTGATGGTTAATGCCTCCTCATTTGGATCTCAGCCTTGGAAAGGCTTTCCTGACTGCTCAGGCAATCTAAATCAGCTTCCCAGTCTCTGTGTAATTACAGTGCATTATTTTCTCAGTAACACTTATCACTCTCTGAAATGATTTTACTTCTTTATTATCTATCTCCCACCCTAGACTGTCAACTACATGAGTGCAGAAACCTTGTCCATTCTGATCCCTGCCCTATCCCCAGCATAGTACTTCACTGCCCAGCTGAGTGTATCCACTGAACATTAGAAATATGGCTAGTCCACTTGAAATGTGCTGAAAATATAAAGTACAAACTGGATTTCGAAGGCTTAGTATAAAAAATGTATAAAGTATCTCAATTTTTATACTGATTAAATGTTGAAATAATATTTTTAATATATTGAGTTAAATAGAATGTTATTGAAGTAAATTTTATCTTTTTAATGTGGCTACTAGAAAAAGTAAATTCATGACTTTCATTATATTTCTATGGAAGAATACTGATATAGAAGTTCAGTAAATATTTATTGAAGGAAAATATAAAATAGACTTACCAAAAGAAATGAACTATCAAGCCACAGAAAGACATGGAAAAACCTTAAATGCATATTACTAAGAGAAAGAAGACAGTCTGAAAAGGCTACATACTATATGATTCCAACTATATGAAATTCTGGAAAAGGCAGCACTAAAGATCATGGGTTCATGGAGATGGAGAAGTGGGCAAAGCATTGAGAATTTTTAAGGTGGTAAAATGCTTCTGTATGATACTGTAATGCTGGGTTCATAATATGCATTTTTCAAAACTCAGAACTATACAACACAGAGTGTGAACCCTAATGTAAACTATGGACTTTAGTTAATAATGTATGAATATTGGCTCATTAATTACAACAAATATATCACACTAATACTAGACATCAATAATAAAATGTGGGGGCAGAGTAGGAAGTAAATGGGAGCTCTCTGTACTGTATGTTCAATTTTTTTGTGAACTTATAACTGTTCTAAAAAAGTAATTAAAAAATGAATCCACTCTTGAACAGCCACCAGAATGGTGTTTCTAAAACATAAATTTAATAAACCATTTCCTTCTTTTAAAAAAACTTTAGTGCCCCCCCAGAAAAAAGTTCACATCCACTGATATTTGCATTGGCATTAACAGATGTTTGTCACTCTACCACACACCTGGTTTGTGTCTCTTCTCCCAAGATATACAAAGACTACTCAAGGGTCTCAAGCCTCTATTGCAGGACTCATGCAGTCCCCTCTGCCTGGACCACCCTCCCTCTCCACTTGTGAAACTTGACCATGTGTCATATACTCTCCATATAAGTCAATTATCCTCTCTTCCTTATTTCCATAGGTTCTAAATTAAAAGATACAGAAAATCAAGCATATGGCGTTTTGGTTATCTAGATATTTTGTGCCTCTAATAAGTTTGGAAATGGATAATGAGTTTATATATTAATCTTAGAAATGTTGAAAAATAGTTCTGAGAACCATTGGTGGACTAGGGATTAATATCATTGAGACAGAAACAGTGAAAGCCGAACAGGGCTATTGAATTTCTGTGAAGATCTGCTTGGGCTCACCTCCTATGCAGGAGGCAATGGGATGCCCTGCTGGAAGCAAGATCCATCCCAGCAATGAGGTGGTGTTAACCTGATTGCTTACCTACCACTATAGGAGAGAGGCCTCTGGGCTGTCTGTCACCTGCTCTGAAAGCCAATCTGCCTCTGGCTGCTGCTCACCCAAACTAGGATGCCAGGGTGATTTGGTTTCAGGTATTTCACTTCCAGGGCGCATGACAGTGTGGGAGTGACATCTTAAAGTGGAGCCTCAGGAGAGCATGCATTAACACAGGTGAGCGGGCTTTCAGGTGCTGAGTTTACAGTGAAGATTTCCCTGCATCTCCCTTTCAGAGATGTATTATCCCACCCCTGTGCTGATGAGAAACTTTAGGAGTACTGAACAAAGATAAATGACTTGCCCAAGGTCACCCAGCTGTTTAAGAGGTGTCTGTCTTTCCAAGAATTACAAAAATGAAGCATGTGCTATTATCCTAGGCCCTTAAGATCATGCCAGGTAGAAGAACCCCATTTTTTTGTTCTTTCAAACCAGGTCTGCCCAGAGGAGTGGGAATCTGGTTAAGACCTCACAGGTATTTAAAGGAAGAGGCCAGGTTGGAGGAACCAGGAATGTTCTAGTGCCGGCAGGAAGGTATAGCAGACCTGGGAGATGATGCATCTGTGAGCACCAAGGGTAAAGGGGCAAACAAATGTGTACAAAGCTAGGCTTATTCACCAATTTGAGGCCAGTTCTTTCTCTTAACCAGGTGATCTACAATCTCTTTCCACCCTGCCCATTGGGTACTCTGACAGCACCCAGATGCTATCACTGGGGTATATGGGAGCTCCTCTACTGTAAACTGTTCTTCCCTTCCCTGTGTCCCTCAGCTGGCCCAGGGCATCTACAACTGCCCTTGGGGCAGATAAAAGGGAGGAACCGGATTCCTCTAAGAAATGCTTATGAAAAATAACCTGGACTGGAATTTGGACTGGAGTGACCAACTCCAGCCTTTGGGTGGGTAGAAGGGCTCCTCAGAGAGCAACCACTGCTCCATATACACCCCAGCCTGACTTCTAGTGTGGGTAATTTGGGAAGCTCTGAAGATTCCCTGGGCTGAGGGGCCTCTCCCAGGAGAGTGGGAAAGAATTCTGTCCTTCGTGTGACTTCCTTCGTTATGTATGAATGTTGGCTCCCATGGTTGAAAAATGATCATTCCTCTATTGGGTTTTCCCAGATTGAGGCAAAAGCTTTTGGAAGACAAAACAGCTCTTGCTTCCTGGTGACCTCTATAGCCCTTCTCCAGCACACACAGGTACCAGGAGTCATATCTGCAAAATTGGGACCCCATAAACAGCGGGACGCGCGCCCCAATTCTCACCCCACGAGAATGGATGGAGAGCAGGTGATGTACCCTTTCTAGGAAGAAGCGAGTGGATGGCTTATGTCTCATCACAGATTAATCCATGTGAAGGGCTTTGAACAGCGTCTGTCAGTGCTCCTAAAGTGTCTGCGAGAACTATTATCATCGCTAGCAGCTTGGCTGAGCAAGGAATTCACCTCGGTTATATTTTGGCAATACCCTGACAAATTATCAAATGTGGACGGGGAAATGCATGCCAAGATTTTTAAGAGCACCCGCTGTGACCCGCCTCAGTGTCTTCTTCGGGCGCGATGGCTGGCTGTGTTAGGTTCAGGCCTACCGGCCAGCTTCACCATCCTCAGGATACCCCAGGAAATCTGAAGTCCTAGCAGCTGCTCCGCAGTGGAGCTGCGGGGCTGGACTCGCCCAGCAGGACCAGGGCGGGTCTTGGGCTTGGCTCCGCCTCACCGCGGCCCCATCCCGCCCCGCCTCCCTCCCGTGACCTGATTTCCTCTGTGCTTGGCGGGGTGAAAGCCCCGCGCAGTGTGAGCTCTCAGTCTGGAGGGTGCAAATAAGGGTCTGTTGATTGGTAAAACTTCTCCAACTCCTGGAACCAGTGCACAAAGGAGTCTTTTTAAAGCGAATGGCTGGGGCCGTGAAATAATTTACCCGCGTTTGTCTACGTTACCACCTGCCTCTTTCTTTTGGACCAACAAATGTTTACCCGGTTCCCACCCCAATCAAATGCCTGTTTGGTTTGTTTATTAATCCCAGAGGCTTCAGCCTACTTTAAAGGAGAGAGATCCGGGCCAAGAGGGAAGCTTCAAAACATTAACATTTCAAATGAATGCAGAGTTGTGGAATAGGGCGGAGAGGGCTCAGGGTATCTCCTGCTACTTCTCCCCACCCGGCTCCACTCCGCCCCCAGGGCGGGACCCGGCAATTTTTACGAGACAGAAGGTGCTGCTTGGGGCCGCCTTTGTTGTATTGATGACCTCGCTGCCACTTTCTGGGCTGATCGCTGGCCACAGGGCTGTGTGCTGCTGAAAGAGAACGGCCCGGGAAGCGGATGCCAGGCGTTGAGTGAGGGTCGATCCTGGGGCTCCCGCGGCGGAGGAGCATATGTGGGCAACCTTCGCCCGAGCGCACCGGCTCTGCAGTGAGTCGGTCGGGAGCCGCTGAGGACCGACTTGCGGCGGCGAGACTGACCTGTCCACCCCCATCTGGGCTTTGATCTCCTTATATGAGGCTTTAGAGTACAAAAGTGCTTAGCAACTACTGTGCCAGCCCGGAGGAGATGGATACTCTGAACCTCCGTGCCTCCCGCCTACTGCGTCCCATCGAGGTGCGGCCAGTGCAGCGGAAGGAAGTGTGGGCGCGAAACTGCCATGCGAAGCGGGCCTAGTGGCGTGCCACTGGCTAGTGTCCACCCAAGCCTTGCGCCTTGCTACTGGGGGCTCCGCCGCCAAATGCAAGATTCCTGCGCGTCTTTGCTTCACTCCCCCTTTCCCCCCGCACTCACATCTGCATTGCTTCCTTGGTGCTGCTGAAGCTGATCAACACAGCACACCCAGAGCCTCTGGGCCTGTGGGCTCTTCTGCAGGCCCAAACCTCTTGGTGATCCCTAACAGCACTCTACGGAGTTGTAGTAGCAATTATAATTAGCTGTGTGCGCCCTTGTCTTCCCCAGGCCTTGGCTTCCCTCAGGATGGGTCTCCCCTGGAGAATGAATGTTTTTGCATACAGGATCTCTCATGCTCACCTCAGGCTGTGCACTTTTTTCTCTGGAATCGTGGAGATACCCCCAAGAGTATCCCTGGGGTTGTGAAAGGGAATGGGGTGTCAGTTTTTGGTAAAATGAAGACAATTATACCAGTCTCCCTCCCCCTTCCAGAAAAGGTTTTAAGAGGCACCAGTGAGTTGAGGGCAATGCTACTCAGGCCTCCTTAATAAACTTTAAGGACCATGCCAGGTCCTTCGAGTTTTATCTTATTCTGCCCAGAAGCCCCAGTAGGTAGCCTGACGTTACAGAAACTCCTTAGTAGTCTTGACTTTTGAGAAAAGGATACCTACCCCTTTTGAGAAAAGGACACCTACTCTGCGCCTTGAAAAATGCATACAATCTCCCAATTTTGTACCTGGTTTCAGGCTGCAGGCCATGAAATTTGTCCAGACCGAGGTATAAGGATCCTCCTATTCAGGGGCCTTCCCAGGCTCTGCATCCTAGCTTATCAACTCCTTTCTCCGGCCAAGCTGGCCTACTTGTTATTTTCCAGCAAGTACTTGGGCTGTCCAGCTTCAGTGTTTGTTTGTTTGTTTGTTTGTTTAGGTGAGGCAACCCTTGGTTTACCTCACAGGTTGCAAGGACCTTGTCAGCTTACCATAACTTTTTACACACACATACAAGGCATTTTTTGAAATATCCTTTTTTTTCTTTAGGTGAGGCAACCCTTGGTTGACCTCACAGATTGAAAGGACCTTGTCAGCTTACAATCCCTTATTTTTTAGGCCTACATACAGCACCTGGGTCTTCATAGGTGGTCTCCCATCCAAGTACTAACCAGGCTCAACCCTGCTTAGCTTCCGAGATCAGACGGGATCGGGCTTGTTCAGGGTAGAATGGCCATAGACCAGCTTCAGTGTTTTTGTTGGCAGTGAGCTGCCTACTGGAAGGCTCCCCCTTGAAGTTCTCTGCCTCCACCCTCCACCACAGCTGGGGGCGGTTCATCACCTGCTACAGCCACTGGGTTGAACCTTCTGACATCGAGTCCACTGCCTCCTAGCCTTTGCCTTCATTGGGTTTCTCTCAGTCCAGGTGACTGACATGCTCCTGGGACAGGGCTTTTACTTTGTTCCTCTTTGTCTCCTCCCTACCTGTTAGTCTAGGATTCTGCTCTTCCACGCCCTATGGATAGCAATAGGAAACACACACACACACACACACACACACACACACACACACACTTCTGTCTACCTACCTGTCTAACTACCTATCTTGAAAACCATGGCGTCCACACTCATACTTCCAGTTCCCAATCTAACATCACGGAATTTGTGTTATTTTTCTCCCTTTCCATATTTGTAACTGTATAGAGCATAAAGAATTGAGAA